ACCTGGGCACCGGCGTCCTCACGGCTTTCGGGGGCCTATAAAGGCAGGACCTGGCCCTGGGCAGAGGGGCAGCTTTTTTTTTTTAATATATATAAATATATTTTATTGATTTTTTACAGAGAGGAGGGGAGAGAGATAGTCAGAAACATCGTTGAGAGAGGAACATTGATCTGCTGCCTCCTGCACACCCCCTACCAGGGATGTGCCTGCAACCAAGGTACATGCCCTTGACCAGAATCAAACCTGGGACCTTTCAGTCGCAGGCCAATGCTCTATCCACTGAGCCAAACCGGCTTCGGCAGGGGGGTAGCTTTTATTCCCCTGACTAACACGGAAGGAGCATCGATTATGTGCCAAACACTGTGGTGAGCTGAGCGGGGCCAGTGCAGTCCCTGACACAGAGCTGCCAGCCGTCCTCCCGTCCAGCGAGCACAGAGTCACCAGTCACAAAGCTCCTGTCATGTGCCAGGCATGTCGCCCCCCACACCTCCTCTCCATCCAGAGCTGGGACAGGGCCTGCGAGGCCAGCCCTGTGGGACCCGGTGCCCACGGGGGCCCTCTCTCACCACCGCCAGTCTCTGCCTTCGGGCTGCTCGGCCTCAGCGCCTGCCCCTTTCCTCATCGCTGTGCACAGAGGCTAAATCTTTCAGCGAAACTTTCCTGTAATTGTCCCGTCATCAGGGCTGGACCCAGAAGCCAGCCAGGGAGCGAGCCGCAGGAACACAGACAGGAGGGTGAGGTCACCCCGTCTGGCAGCCTGTCTCAGGGCAAGAGCATGTACTGCAACCCCGAGAGTCCGAGGGCTCAGCAGGAAGGAGGGAACCCCCCTGCCACAACCTTCCCATGGTCCCCGTCCTCCCCTTCCTCCGGGAAGTCCTCGCAGCGTTAGGTCCTCAGGAGGACTGAACCCACAAGAGAGGCCCCTTTCCTCAGGAGGCTTCAGGGATCGGGAAGGGGAGGAGAGTGTGGACCAGGTGGGGCGCTTTCCCCCGGCTCCGTCATCTTTCTTTTCTTGTTCTTCTCTCCGCCCCTCATTCTCTCCCTTCCCTCCTCTCTCCCCAGTCGCCTGGCTGGAGGCCAGCATTGTTCCAGCCTGGCTCCCGCTCACTCCTCCTCCCTCCTGGCCCCCTCTCTCCAGCCAGCCCACCCGCAGGCCCAGGCCCTGATGCACTAGCCCCAGGCAGGAGGGAGGAGGGGAGAGCAGGGGGGAGGGGGACCACTGTAGTCCCACCCTCTGCTTCCCCATCACTCGGCTCTCCTAGTCCCCACGGGTGGCCTCCACCCCAACACAGAAAGCCGGGAGCTTGGGTTACTCAGGGCTCTGGTTATTTTTAATGCCACCAGCTCAGAAGATAAATTTACCACCCCTTCCCCCCAGCTATCCTGGGCACCCCTTCCCACCTCCCCCACACAGATCCCCTTCTTCCAATCTCCTCAGACTTTCCTTGCCTCGAATCCTCCTCACATTTCCTCCTAGTGGGTCCCCCTGGACCTTGGACTCCCGGCAGGAAAACCCCATAGGTGAGGCGGAGGTGTCCTGGTGTCCTGGCTCCACCTAGTGCCTTCTGGAGACATCGCAGCCAATAAAAGGCCCTTGGATGGCCCAGGCGGGGGCAGATGGGTCTGCCTCCTTGGCCCCAGCCTCCGTCCTGGGTCCCACTGTTACTAGGGCAGGGAGGGGCTGGTGAGAGAGAGCACACTGCCTCTTCTTCCCCCACATCCCACTCCACTTCTCTTTGATCCCACAATGCAAGCAAGTTCTTTCTGGAATTGATTCCCAGGCTTCTTGTTTTGGCCCAAAGAAGCCTCTGGTAGGAATTCAGGGCAGGAGCTGCAGCTCTCCGGGGAGGACAGAAGAGGGACAGACCCTGGAGTCAAGATGTGTCGTTCACTCCTCAACTGTTGGAGTCCCCAGGACTGAAGAAGCCACTCGGACGGCTCCAAAAAGGAGTCAGCCTGGCCCCGGGCAGCCGCCTGGGCTCCAGTGACAGCACATGCCCTCCACCCAGGGGTAACCTGCTCTGTCCCGAGACAAGTCTTACATCTGTCTCCTCTGGGCTGGCCTCTGGGCCCCATCCTCTCCACCCTTCACCCTGGTTCCGTTTCCTGGGGCCACGTAAAGAAAGTCTTGGGCCCTTCCACCCTAGAACTCTTCAGACCCTTAAGATGTCCCAGCCTATGGATTTATTTTCTGCTACTTCACGTCCTTTATCAATAAAGAATTACATTACACACAGAGGAGTGCCACTCCAGCCCCCTTGCCTCTGTTCCTCCTCCCCAGACAGAATCACGGTGCTCCGTGATTGTTGTCATTATTTTGTTTTTCAACAATATTTTGCACGCATTTCCAAAAACCACGTCATTGTGTAGGGTTTTGAATGCTTGAGAAACGCATCTGCCGTGCATATTTCCTGCAGCTGCTTTCCTTCTCAACACTCTGGCCTCGAGCCTCATCTGACGTGCTTCCAGTTTTGCTAAATGAACACACTACAGATTGTGAAAAGTTTAAAAACTGGGTAGTTCTTGGTCAGGGCACATGCCTGCGTTGCAGGCTCAATCCCCAGTAGGGGGCGTGCCAGAGGCAGCAGATCAATGAGTTTCTCATCATCGATGTTTCTGTCTCTCTCCCCATCCCTTCCTCTCTGAAATCGATGAAAATATTTTTAAATTAAAACACACACACACACACACACACCAAAAACACATTATAACAGTCATGTCTAAGGACAGAACCCAGTGAGACAGCCCAGAGCCCTCCTCGGCTTGCTCATGGATATTTCTGGGGACATCTACTGAACTTTGTATCCACTGCTGTTGTGTCACATGACCCACATGTCCTGGGCCCAGAGACACCGGAGTGCAGCCAAAGACTCACAAAACCCCAGTGACCCAATGCAAGCGCTGGGGGAGGAGAGGAGGATGCCTGGCCTAGGAGTGCCTGTTGAGTGCCTGCTGGCCCCAGGCAGGGCCTCATTTTTTAAAATATATATATTTTATTGATTTTTCACAGAGAGGAAGAGAGAGGGATAGAGAGAAACATCGATGAGAGAGAATCATCAATCAGCTGCCTCTTGCAAACCACCCCCTCACTGGGGATGTGCCTGCAACCAAGGTACATGCCCTTGACCAGAATCGAATCTGGGACCCTTCAGTCCGCAGACCAATGCTCTATCCACTGAGCCAAGCCCATTAGCGCTCATGGGTTGTTTTTTATTATTATTATTAAAATATGTTTTTTATTGATTTCAGAGAAGGGAGGTGGAGAGAGAAACGGGTTCATATGATAGCTCGACGCTCAACTACTAAACCAAGCCGGCAGGGCTTAATATACTTTTTTGTTGTTGATAGTATTACAGATGAGCACCCATCACTGTTGCTGTCACATCACCCAGCTCCCCCAGGGCTGGGACCGAATGCTGACACGTAGTAGGTGCTGATTAACACTGCAGCACTCAGCTGGGTTTATGGGAGCAGAATTCCTTCCCTGAGATCCCCCCGTTTCTTTATCCCTGCCTCTCCTCCTTGGCCCTGCTTCCCTTTACTCTGCATGTCCCAAGTCCCGCAGTCTCTCACTCCCCAGGAGGAGGCCCCTCCTCCTGAGAGGCCTTCCCAACGACTCCCACCCTCGCTGAGCTCTCTGCTTCCTGAAATGTGGAACCATCAACAGGAAGTGTGAAGGATTAAGTCAGACAAGGTAAGTAAAACCGTCAGAGCAGGCTTTGGGACGTCACCACAAACGCTCGATCTGGGCGGTTGTGATAAAGGGAAGAACCGCCGCTTCTTTCTGCTTCCTCTTCTCGGCCAGGCCTGTAGGCCACCAGGGGGCGACCTCTGCCCAAAAGTCCCTGGCACCTAGGCCAGGATGTGGCGCCCTTCCCTGAAACGGGGAGCCTGGGACGAAGCAACGTGAGCCTGGGTTTTGTGGAAGAGCAGTAGGAAGCTGGGGGTGAGTCATGGGGAAAGTACCCTTTCACCTGCCTTTCTATTTTCTGACGACACAGAGGCGATGAGGTGTGTGTACATTTGCTGTCTCCCACTACAACGTGTCTGTTCTTTTTCCCCAGGCAGTGTCTCTCTGACTCTCTTTGCAATTTTGCCTTCTAGTATTTTGGGGTGGGGTGGGGGCCCATTTGCAATTACAAAATACACACACACACACACACACACACACACACACAATCATTGGATTTCCATCATTGCTCCCATTTTATGGATGAAGAAACGGAGTCTTAGAGGAATTCAGTAAGTGATACCGTTCTTGGGTGAGCTGAGTAACTGAGACTGGAATCCCCTCCCAGTCCCTAATGCCCTGGCACCTCCTGGACTGCTAGTTCTGTGCATAATCTATCTTATTTTTTAAAATATAGTTTATTGATTTTTTACAGAGAGGGAGAGGGAAAGTTAGAAATATTGATGAGAGAGAAACATCAATCAGCTGTCTCCTGCACACCCTCCACTGGTGATGTGCCCCCAACCAAGTTACATGCCCTTGACCGGAATGGAACCTGGGACCTTTCAGTCCACAGGCTGACCCTCTATCCACTGAGCCAAACCAGTCAGGGCCATAATCTGCTTTTATCAGGGGTGATGACCCTTCCTCACGGCCTCCTCCCTCAGATAGCGACCACCCTGGGACCAGATTCTCCAGGCATGGCTTTTCCTTTTAAAGCCCCATTAAAAAAAAAAAAAAAAAAAAAAAAAAAAAAAAAAAAAAAAAAAAGCTCCACTCTCCATCTGGCACTCCCGGCCGCAGGGACAGACAGAGGATGCCCTGAAGGGGTTAAGGCCTGGGCCCCGCCCCCGCCCCCGCCCGGCCGGACCGGCGGGAGTATGAATAGCCGCGCTCCCACTCCCCACTCCCAGCCGCTGCCGCCGCTCCTCGCCCCGTCCGGCCCTGGTCCCCATCCGGCTCCTTTTCCCTTTCCTCCTAACGGGCTCAGAGCCGCCGGCTTCTCCCGGTGCCCCGCGTCTCTTCATCTCCGGCGGGTCCGACGTGCAGGATGGAGGGCTGCCTGGGGGCGGAATCCTTCCAGATGTGGGAGCTCAACCGCCGCCTGGAGGCCTACCTGGCCCGGGTGAAGGCGCTGGAGGAGCAGCATGAGCTGCTCAGCGCCGAGCTCGTGGGCCTCCGCGCGCGCGCCGGGGACGCCTCGTGGCGGGCCCGCGCCGACGGCGAGCTGGCGGCGCTGCGGGCCCTCGTGGACCAGCGCTGGCGGGAGAGGCACGCGGCCGAGGTGGCGCGCGACGGGCTGGCGCGGGAGGCGGAGGGCGCGGCGGGCCGGTGCCGGCAGCAGCGCCGGGCCCGCGAGCGGGCGGCCGAGGAGCTGGCCCGCAGCCGGCGCGCGGCGGAGGCGGAGGAGGGCGCGCGGGCCTGGCTGAGCGGCCGGGCGGCCGCGCTGGAGCGCGAGCTGGAGGCCCTGCGCGCCGAGCACGAGGAGGAGCGCGCGGGCCTGGCCGTGCCCACGGCGGCCGCCGCCGGGCCCCCGCGCCCGCCCCGCGCGCCCCCGGCGGCGCCCGGCCCCGAGGTGGAGGAGCTGGCGCGGCTGCTGGGCGAGGCGTGGCGCGGGGCCGTGCGCGGCTACCAGGAGCGCGTGGAGCGCATGGAGGCGGCGCTGGGCGAGGCCCGCCAGAGGCTGGGGCACGCGGTGCAGGGCGCCCGCCGGGGGCACCTGGAGCTGCAGCAGCTGCAGGCCGAGCGCGGCGGCCTCCAGGAGCGCAGGGCAGCCCTGGAGCAGAGGCTGGAGGGCCGTTGGCAGGAGCAACTGAGGGCCGCTGAGAAGTTCCAGGTGAGGAGGGGGGCGCCTGGGCGAAAAGAGGCTTCGAAGAATCCCCTGGGGGCTCAGAGACCTTCTGGGGAAGGGAGTGGGTGGGGGTGGCTGCCCTTTCAGGGACCACTTCTTAGAAGACTCATAGCTGGTGCCAGAGGCCTTAGACTTTCAACTCCCGCTAGAATAGGGAGGAAACGGTAGGGGTCCGAGCCTCTCAAACCAGACCGCCTGGAAGGGCAGACAGAGCCCAAGACGGTGAAGCATCTCCCCACTCTGATGGCCTCTGGGCCCCTCCCTGGACTCCCCTGCCACTGGCAAGATGCCCAGGACTTTCCTTCTCAGTGCAGCTGAGCCTCGTGTCCTGCTGCTCAGAATCTTCAAAGTTCCTAACCGCCCGCCCCCCCCCCCCCCCCCCGCCCCCTGACTGACAGGTGGAGGTGAGGGGCCCCGCAGGAGGGATCAGTCAGCAGCCCTTGTCCCATGTCCTGGCTTCTTAACTCCCCGCGCACATTCCAGAAGCCTGGGACAGCTGCTCCCCCTCATGAGACACCAGCCACGGAGAGAACAGCTCCCCTCCTGGGCCAGACAGAGGTCTCACCACGGCCACCTCCCCAGCCCTCCTCTCAGGACAGATTCCAGAACGTGTGGGAAGCGGAGGGGGTGGGGGCGAGGAGCAAAAGACAGTGATTGGGACTGGGGCAGTTTTAGCTCTCAGGGCTTCGGGCTCCAGGCTTCTTGATTAATCGATTTTCCTTCTGCTTCTCCCCCCCCTCCCCTCTCCTTTTCTCTGTAGCCATCTCCTTCCCTCCCTCATGTCCCCCTTCCTGTGGCTGTTGAGTTCTGAGCAGCATGTGCAATCATTTAATCAGCATCCTCAGCGAAGGAGCCCCGTGGGAAATGCCCTGGGCTCCTCTGGAGTCTCCAGAAGGGGCTCTCTGGGCAGGGGTGGGGTGGAGCAGGGAGGCAGGAATCTGCTCCACAGAGAAGTTAGGAGCAGAAGGTGCTGCTGCAGCAGCCAGGGGGATGCAGGCTAGTCAGCAGGCAGGACCCTGCCCTTCACTGACCGCCTCTGGCTTGCTCTGCAGCTGGCCGTGGAGGCCCTGGAGCAGGAGAAAAAGGACCTACAGAGTCAGATTGCCCAGGTCCTGGAAGGTCGGCAGCAGCTGGCAAGCCTCAAGATGTCCCTCAGCCTGGAGGTGGCCACGTACAGGTACAGGTTGACCCCGGCCCACCCAGAGGAGGCAGAAGGGCCTCAGCTGAAGGGGGCCAGAGCCATGGGTGGTAGCTGCTCTGCCACCACCAGGTTCTGTGACGCTAGGCTGATCCCTTTCACACCAGCATATTTCCCAGCTGAGCCCACTAAATCCCCTATGGGTTCAGGACTGGGGAAGTGTCCCGTGCCCAAGAAATCCCCCAAGGAGAGGTGATGTTGCTGAACAGGAGAGAGGGCTGGGCGCATGTGGGGCATCTGCATCCAGACTCGTACCCCAGGGGGCTGAAAAAGCCCTGTCTCTGGGTGTATTCTCACACCAAGGAGGTACGTTCCTTGGGCAACCCCAGAAAGGAGGACCTGCAGGGGTGGGTAGGTGGCACTGGCTTGCACTGGCAAGACTCCTTGTCTGGAAGATGGAAGATGGGCTGGGTGACCTCCAAGGCCCCTTCCATCCTGAATGTCGTGGGGCCTGACTACTCTCAAATCCTAGTCCCTGGGCCCTGCCCAGCCCTTCTGCCAGCCACATTTCCTGGCCCGGGAAAGGCTGAGACGCAGGGGGCGCAGCTTCTCTGGCTGTGCGGCCTTGGGTAAACTTACAGCCTCTTCCCGGAAACTGACCTGGCTGTCTGAGGGTTCAGGGACGGAGCCTGCGGAAGGGGCTCTGCTACCATGAAGGGCTTCGTATACCAAGCCCCCTGGGAGGGCAGGGTTACGCAAGCTATGAAGACAGTGCCCCCAGAGCCCACAGACAAACAAAGGCAGGGGTCCTAGGACAGGCTCTGGAGGGAAGGGGAAGCAGGGCCCCGAAAGGAAGGTCAGTGAGGAGCCAGGGATGAGGAAGGGAGCCGTAGCGTGAGCTCAGAGGGCAGGATGCTGCGAGGGGAAGGATGGCGGTGAGACTGCAGACAATACTAGCTGGACTCAGAGATCACGAGGAAGAGCTGAGAGCTGATGTTCGGCATAACCTGTTGAACTGATTGTTTCCCCTCCTGGTCTCTCCTCCTCCGTCCCCCTGGGGTATTGAGGCCAGGGCATGAGCACAGAGACCTCCATTGCCTTGAGAGGCTTGGGACCCAGAGCACTTAGAGATCCCAGGATGAGGGCCTTACCCCTGATCACATCACTGGGAGAAAGGGTCTGGGGAAGGCTTAACCTCCGGGGTGTTGAGGCCTGAGAAGGATTTAGATGAATTCTTTTATTTCTTTCTGTGACCAGCTCCTGGGGCCCTGGGGGAGGAGGAGAGAGCCTATCCCATGGGAACAGCCTGAGAATTCCCACTTCCCCCGGGAAGCCCCTCCTTAGACCCTCCAGATGGTGGCGTGGACAATGGCACCATTAGCATGAGAATGGACACCACACACAGAGGATGAGGTCATTAGCCCGGGGTGGGGAGGGGGAGCTATACGTGGGGGTGTGTACATTGTGCCTGCTGTGTGGGAATCTGCTTGGTGTCTGTGAGCTCATCATCTGTGTGTCCCAAGTATGTGTGGGATGCTCTGTGACCCAGTGTGTGATATCTGGATTTGTGATTATGTGATTTCATGTACACAGCCAAGTCTCACCCCAAAGGTGGCTTTCATGTGATAGTGCGAAAAATGAAAAGGAAGCCTGCAATGTTAGGGTTTTCTTTTCTTTTTTCTTTTTTAATACATTTTATTGATTTTTAAAATATATATATTTTATTGATTTTTTTACAGAGAGGAAGGGAGAAAGATAGAGTTAGAAACATCGATGAGAGAGAGTCATCAATCAGCTGCCTCCTGCACACCCCCCACTGGGGATGTGCCCACAACCAAGGTACATGCCCCTGACTGGAATCGAACCTGGGACCCTTCAGTCCACAGGGGTTTTGTTTTCTTCTATTATTTTTTTCTGGCTGGTTTGCCTACTGGCCTGTGGACAGAGGGCTGACCCAGCTTCCCCTCCCTCACCCCCCAGGACCCTCCTAGAGGCTGAGAACTCCCGACTGCAGATGCCTGGCGGCGGGTCCAAGGCTTCCTTCAGCTTCCAGGGTAAGAGCTGGGGCCAGGCTCCCCCTCCTCCAGACTGTGCCCTTTTTTGCTTTCCAAACCCCAGAGCAATTCCTTTCTTGAGAGGCGCCAATCTAAGTCTCCACTCCTTGGCTCCCAACAACCCATATAGTAGGAGGCAAGGATAGGGCCCGTGGACACTCCTGTCGGAAATGGTAACTGCTCTGTGGCCCCACCCTCCCTGCCAGTACATACTGATACCGTTTCTTTTCCTCCATCTTTCCAGACCCCAAGCTGGAGCTTCATTTTCCTGGTACTCCAGAGGGCCAGCGTCTGGGACCTCTGCTCTCTGTCCTCAGCCCTACTCCCCTCTCCTTGCCCTTACCTGACACTCTTCAGACACCTGTTCCAGCCTTTCTGAAGAGCCAGGAATTCCTCCAGGCTCGCACCCCCACCTTGGCCAGCACCCCTCTTCCGCCCCCAGCTCAGGCTCCCTGCCCTGCGACAGATGGAGAGATCAGGGCCCAGGATGCCCCTCTCTCTGTGCTCCAGCCAGAGGTTGGGCAGCAACCGTCTCCACAGGCCATGAGGGCTGAAGCCAATGTAGCCATCCCTGCCAGCATCCTGCCAGGACCAGAGCAGCCTGGGGGCCAGCAGCTAAAGGCCAGTACAGGCCAGTCCCCTGAGGACCATGCCTCCTTGGCCCCACTCCTCAGCCCTGACCACCCCAGTTTAGAGGGCAAAGATGGAGAACCCAGTAAGACTAGAGCGTCCGGCCAATTTCAGAAGGAAGATGAAGGGGAACTGGCAGAGAAAGAAATAGCCATAGAGGTCAAAGTGGTAACCAGCCCGCAGCAGCAAACACAGCAAGAAGAGGGGGATCTGAACAGGAAGGAAATCCAGGGCTCCCAGGGTCCTTTGGAAAAAGAAACTCTGAAGTCTCTGGAAGAGGAGGGTCAAGAGCCACTGATGTTTCTGGAAAAACAGAGCCAAGAGACACTGAGACCTCTAGGGAAGGAGAATCAAGAGCTATTGACGTCTTTAGCAGAAAAGGACATGGAGGTAGTGGGAGCTCTAGAAAAAGAGACTCCAGAACTATTTAAGCCTGCAGAAAAAGAGGACCTGCCGACATCGCAATCTCTCGAAGAAGAGAATCAAGAACTAGTGAGGTCTCTTGGAGATAATCTAGAGACATTTTTATATCCAGGGAAGGGAAATCAAGAATTAGTGCAGTCTCTGGAAGAGGAGGACTTTGAGTTCTTGAGCACTCTAGAAAAACAGAATCAAGAACCACCAATGTCTGTAGGAGAACAGGACCAGAAAACACTGAGGACTCTAGGAAACGAAAATCCTGAGTCTCTGGGGTCTCTAGAAGAGAATCAAGAGTCCCTGAGTTCTCTAGAGAAGGAGAACCAGGAGCCACGGAGGCCTCTAGAAGGAGAGGACCAGGAGACACCGATACCTCTAGCAAAGGAGACTCAACAGCCACCGGAGTCTCCAGGGGAAGAAGACCAAATGACATTGAGATGTTTGGAAGAGGTGGAACCAGAGCCACTGAAGCCTCTTGGAAAAGACCAGGGGATAGTTAGACCTCTTGAAAAAGAGAATCAAGAGTTATTCAGATCCCTAAACGAAGAGCGTGTAGAGGCAGTAAGATGTTTAGAAACAGAGAATCTAGAACCGCTAACGTCTGCAGGAGAAGATCTGGAAACAGTAAAGTCTGCAGAAATTCAAGGGCCATTGTGGTCACCGGAAGAAATGAACCGTGAGACCACGAAACCTCTAGAAAAGGAAATCCGAGAATCGCTGGGGTCTGTGGAAGAGAGCCAGGAGTCAGTGAAGTCCCCAGGAAAGGAGAACCAAGAACCATTGAGACCCCTGGGAGAATGGGACCTAGAAAATGTGAGATCTCTGGAAGAGGTAGGCAAGGAAAGTCAAAAGTATCTGGAAGAGGAAGAGAACTTGGAGAAGGGAGAGAATCAAGAGTCGCTGAGGTCTCTGGAAGAGGAGGGACAGGAGCTGCTGCTGTCGGCAGATCAGCAAAGGTGGAAAGATACGGTGATGGGGGTCCATGAACTGGATCAGGAAACGCCCTCTGGGAGGGCAGAGGCGGACGATGAGGATGAGGCAGAGCTGGAGCTGAGGGAATGTGATGGGAAGGAGGGATCTGCAGACGAGGGAGAACGGCAGTTGCCTGTCGAAGGAGGAGCCTGGAGCACAGGTGAGGGGCACCCAGGGAGCCCTGAGCCCAAGGAGCAGAGGGCTCCGGCTGAGGGCACCAGTGGGGAGGGGGTTGCTGAGGGCCTTCAGAAACCTGAAGGGCAGCCAGAGACCGCGGGGGCCCAAGGCCTCCACGCTCCCTGGGGAGTGTCAGAGGTGATAGAGCCAGGATTGGAAAATGAGAATAAGGTCCCAGGGGGTGGCCGAGCCTCCCCAGAGGTCTCCTTGGGGTTGGAGGCAGCCATGGGTGAGTCTGCTTCAGGAGCTGAGCAGGGACTGGAGCAGAAGATGGTAGGGTTGGAGGACCCAGGCCACCTGGCCAGAGAGGAGGTGATGGAGCCAGTCCCGGGGGGAGAAAGTTTGGAGGCGAAGAGCGTGCAGGGCTTGGAAGGGCCTGAGAAGGATCTAGAGGAGGCAGCTGCTCCGGAGCCAGAGCTTTCCGTGCTGCCCAGAAAGAGCAGCGACTCCCTGGAGTCTCCTGGGGCTGGGGAGGAGTTGGAGCCTGAGGTCCCCTCGGGAGAAGATGAGGTGCTCCCCACTGAGACCTTGTGCCACGATGCAAGTGATACCCCTCAACCCAGGCTCCTGGGGCCAGAGGAAGCTGAGGAGGATGCGGAGCCAGTACTAGGGTCGTCCAGCCCAAGGCCCACTGAGCCCTCGTCACTCACCCCAATCCCTGAAGCTGCCCCTGGGCCCCAGCCCCTAGCAGAGGGGAACCAGGAGGCGGGCTGGGGGCTGGAGGGCAGGGCTGAGGCCCTGGAAAAGGTGGAGGGTGGGAAGGAGGAGTTGGGTCCTGGGGGACTCCCCGAGGGCCTCCAAGATGAGGAGGAAGAGAGCAGAGATGAGAGCGAGGCTGATGAGCTGGGGGAGACCCTTCCTGACTCCACGCCCCTGGCCCTGTACCTCAGCTCCCCTGCCTCGTCCCAGTGGGAGCTAGCTGCAGGGCAGAGGCCCTCGCCCCAAGGGGAGGCCAGAAAGGAGGGATGTGACTTTGCTGTCCTGACCCCTGAGGGCGATGGGGCCCACTCAGAGGAGGAAGAGGAGGAGAAGGAGGAGGAGGAGGAAGAAGAGGAGGAGGAAGAAGAAGGAAAGGAGGGGGAAGAGGAGGAGGAGGAGGAAAGGGGAGATGAAGAGGAGGGAGGGGGAGATGAGGAGGAGGAATGTGGCCAGGACTCTGACCTGTCAGAGGAATTTGAGGACAATGTGGGGACTGAGGCTTCTGTCCTTCTTGGGAACCCCGGGGAATTGATGGAACCTTTGGGCCAGGTGCCCCAGGTGCCCCTGGAGCCTGCAGCCTGGGGTCAGGATGGGGAGTCTGATGGGTTTGCAGATGAGGAAGAGAGTGGGGAGGATGGAGAGGAGGGGGAGGAAGAGGAGCAGAAGGAGCCAGCGGGCGGGCAGTGGGGGCCAGGGCCCTCAGTGGACAGCCTTCCTGCCATGAGCAGCCCTCAGAGGGAGAACCTCCTGGGGTCTGAGGCTGTGGATGCCAGCATCCCCTGGGATGATGGCTTGAGGGGTGCAGCCGCTGACCCCCCTATGACTGCCCAGGAGACTGAGTCCCCAGACAGCACGGAGCCCTCTGGCTCCGAGGAGGAGTCTGAGGATGCTCCCTCGGAGGGGGAGGACCAAGGTCCAGGCCCTCTGGGGACCCTCAGCGGAACGGAGGAGGACTCCCCTGGAGTCAATGGCCAAGGCCCCAGCTTGAAGGATGAGTTGGAGCATGTGAATGGGGGGCTGGTGAATGGGGTGGGGCAGTCTGACGGAGCAGGGCAGGGAAAACGGGGGGCCCTTGAGGGGGACCAAGGGGAGCCTTTGGAGGAGGAGGAGGGGAGTGCCCTGAAGGCCTCGTGGGCAGGGCCTTCTCTTCATCTGGACCCGGGCCAGTTCCTGAAGTTCACGCAGAGGGAAGGCGAAGGGGACTCCTGGTCCTCGGGGGAAGACTAGAGAGGGGGGCATGTCCCCGCACCCCCTCCCTGCTCAGGACCGGCGCCTTAACTTACGACCGCCCAACCGTGGATTCCACCCAAGAGGCCGGGCTGGCCCACGCGAAATGAGGTGCGGGAAGAGGACCTGCCTGCTCCGAAAATGGAGGCCCCGGGAATGAAAACCAGCTGCTCAGACCCTGCAGAGGGGACATCCTGCCTGCCCTGTGAGGTTTAAGCCAACCGAGTCCCTATAGGACAAGGCCCCCTTTCCTTGCACCCCCTTTTTCCTCCCATCCTTTTGGCTGGAAAAGGCCTGGGGCCCGGCAGCTCCTCCGAGAAGAAGGTGGCTGTGGTGGCCTTTGGGGCGGGGGGGTTTGTTTCACTAGCCCCGTCCCTCCTTGCTGTACCCTCATGGGATGTCCGGTCGGTGAGGGGGTGCTCCCGTATCCTGACGCCCCATATCCCTGCCCTGTGTGACTGCCCTGCCCTCTCTGCTTGAATAAAGTAATGCTTCCTCCTACACGCCTGGGCTCTTTCCTCCCCAATTCAGGGAGTCCTCGGGCCAGCACAGGAGCTGGGGAGACCAGGAAGCATCCGGAGATGCTGGTGTTGGGTAGGGGCTGGTTCCTGAGGCCAGGAGGCCTTGGAGGCCTCATGGGCCCCGCAGTGCAGACAGGCTAAGGCTGCAGGCAGCAGCGCTAGGGGCCTGGGGAGGGCTGGGGGTCCCGATCCAGGTGACCTCAGTGCCTGAGCATGCAGGCTGTCATCATCCCCGCCCCAGGGCTGATTACAGGGAATGGGACTTGTGCCACCCCCGCTCCTGCCTGTCCTCCCCACTCCGGCCCCTCAGTGCCGCCAGCGTAATAAGCCCCTTTGCCCCCAAACCCAAACAGCTGTCTGGCCTGTGATGTCTGCGTGGACGGGCTGGGCCAGAGCGGGGTGAGGGGAGAGGGAGGCCTGCTCTGCTTTAGCCGGGCTCGTGGGCTCGGGTCAGTGTTTATTCTCAGACTGGCCACACAAGAGGGGCGCTGGGCTGGGTGGCGTGGGAGCCTCCAGTGCAGGAGAAGCAGGAGGAGGGCCAGGGGAAGCCCGAGGGCTGTGGCTTTGACCTTTAGTAGCTCCTTTTTCATGTGCTGAAGCAGGAGGTACGCAGGCCAGACGCGAGGAGGGGAGACCCTGAAGGGGCAGGGCTGAGCAGAGGAGCGAGGGGCTGTGTGATGGCTGGGGTGGACAGAGAGCGGAGGGCACAGCCACAGCTTCCCTCCACCCACCCCTTTCCCGGGTCCCTGTGTAGGGCAGGGAGGGACCCGAGGTTCCTGGATTAGGTGGGGCCTGAGATCTTGAAGTCAGGATATCCAAATAGAAGCCCTCCGGGCTAGGAGCAGCGGGGAAGGGAGATCTGGCGGCACCTCTAAACAAATACACTTGGTGGGGGAGGGAGAGGGGCTGCCAAACAAATGTTCCGCATTTGGAGACAATCCCGAGTCCGGGAACAGGCCGGGCGCCTGGGAAAGATGACAGGATGAAGGCTCCGCCGGTCTGGCCCCCACGCATGTCCTCTGGCCAAGGAGGGGCGGGCAGGAGGAACCCTGACAGAACCCCACTGTTGGTCTCTCTGCCCAGCCTTTTCTCCTCCTCCAGCCAGGAGTCTCTGTCTCGGGCACTCAGGCCCCCATTTCACAGTCCACCCTGCCCTCGGGGTCCAAGATCCTGTCTGCCCTTCCAGCAGCCCAAGCCTACACTGTCCCTCCTGTACTCCCCGCGGACAGGGCCCTGTGTGACCCTGCCAGCCTGCCAGGCGGGAGGCCAGCACCTTGGCATCCCGGCAAGTGAGACCCACTCCCTGCCCCTCTGACGTGACACAGGAGCCCTATTTGTGGTCTCCCCGGGCCCTGGGGCACCCCCGCCTGGGCAAGGGACCAAGGACAGAGGCCACGCCAAGAGCAGCCCTTCCCTGTGCCTGGGTGAACATCCTGTCCCACACACAGGTCCCTGGTCCCCCACAGAGTTACCCAAACCGGCTGATTAAAAAAAAAAAAAAAAAAAAAAAAAAAAAAAAAAAAATATATATATATATATATATATATATATATATATATATATATATATTTTATTGATTCCAGAGAGGAAGGGAGAGAGAGAGAGAGAACATAGATGTGAAAGTGAAACGTTGATTCCCCTACCGGGGATGGAGCCTGCAACCTGGGCATGTGCCCTGGCCGATGCCCAATGAGTTGAGGCACACTGGCTAGAGCCAGGTCTGCATTTTAATCTTCTGACTGCTGTAGTCCAGGGGGGGAGATGGTGGCGGGGAGGGGGGCGGAGTCGGGGGGAAGAAGGCTCAGAGGGGAGCAGAGTCTCAGGCCTGGGGACCCGCTGTGGGAGAACTGGGGCTATGGCAGTGGAGGCTGCCAGGGTGCTAGCCTGGGCGGCTGGGAGACAGTGGTCCCATCTCTGAGGCGGAGAATCCGGCAGGAAAGGGTGAGCCCCAAGAGAGGCTGCTCTGGGGGGGGGGGGGTGTGAGGCTCAGGACAGAGGACCAGGCTGGAGACAAGAATGGGAGGGTTGCTGAAACCGGTTTGGCTCAACGGATAGAGCATCAGCCTGTGGTCTGAAGGGTCCCAGGTTTGATTCCGGTCAAGGGCATGTATCTTGGTTGCAGGCACATCCCCGGTGGGTGTGCAGGAGGCAGCTGGTTGATGTTTCTCTCTCATCAATGTTTCTAGCTCTCTATCCCTCTCCCTTCCTCTCTGAAAAAAAAAAAAAACAGAATCGGAGGGTTGTTGGCTTAGAGATCCCCCATACAGAGCCCCCAGGGAACTCCCGCCAGCAGAGGAGACCCTTGCACAGGGGCAGGGGGAGAGAGAACAGGAGGACCAGGGGACGATGGCACCTGGGGAGACCCTGTCACTGTAGAAGCCAAGGCCTTTGTCCAGCCCAGTGCCTGGGGCTCCGGGGGTGCTCGGTGACTGTGGATCGGATAAATGAGCTGATGAAAGAATGAGTGGCTGATGGACTCTGACAACAGGAAGCCCTTGGGAGGGTGGGGTCCCTCCAAAGGAGGGAATGGAGAGGCTGCACCCTCCTGCCAGCAGTAGGACAAGTGGGAGGTTATTCTGGGCCTCCTCTGGGTAAACATAGCCTCTGAGCGGGGTGGGGGCGGGCTGGGCCCCCCCAGGTGGCTTCCTCATTTGTTTGGGGCACTTCCTTATAAGGCTGTGCAGGCTGAGGACCATGGAGGGTGAGGTCAGGGCTGAGCGCTCCATTCAGCCAGCCCGATGCTGTCCCTGTTGTCCCTGTGGCTGCCAGAGTCTCAGAGGAAATCAAAGGCTGAGACTTTGGGCCGCAGCCAAGGAGCTCCGAGTGGGGCCTCTTAAAGGGCCCCCGAGCCTTCCTGTCTGCTGTGGGAGCCCAGCCCAGGGCCGGGGAGAGGGTGTCCTTCCAGGGTCCCCTCGGAAGGTCTTTCCGAGGACCCTGGTTTTCCCATCGGTACGATTGGCTCAACCAATGAAGCTCGGGGCAGCTCTGACACCCTGGGGTCCCACCTTTGTCCCTCCTGCCGCAGGGTCTGCCCCGCGTGCTCTGATCTCTGGAGAGCAGACTCACTCGTGGCTTCCAAAGGCTCTGGTTCCTCAGCTCCCCGCAGCCCCCCCCCCTGCCCCCACCCCCCACCCCCACCTCCGTTCTCAGCCCCTCTTTGGGGAACCAGCTGCTGCCACTTGACCCTGTGGTGTCACAGCTGCTGTCAGCAATGCCATCCTTGCTAGGCAGGGAAGGAGGAATGTGATTTAATTTCAGCTGGAATGTGCCCTCGGAGGCTACCCAGAGAGAGGGGAGGGGAACAAGCTCAGGAAACACACAAGGGCTCTGGGCTGGGGACAGGCTCCTGTGTCCCGTGGGGGCGGGGGCTGCAGCAGGATGGGTCTTCAAAGCACTGGGCAAAGAAAGGGCTTCTGGCGAATGTCTGAGTCCACGGGTCCCCTCAGAAAGGTAGGAGAGTCCCCTCAGCCGATCGGGGAAGGGACGCCTGGCTCAGGGGCAAGAAGAGAGACAGAATGGCCTCTGTGAGGGCCCACAGGCTGCGGTGGAGAGTAGGGGAACGTTCTGAGATCTCACATGCTTTCGTTCACCCTGGGGGCCCCATTCCCTCTCCCCTCTTTCTTTTTTAAAAAATATTTTATTAATTTTTTACAGAGAGGAGGGAAGAAGGATAGAGTTTGGACCATCAATCAGCTGCTTCCTGCATACTCTCTACTGGGGATGTGCCCGCAACTAAGGTACATGCCCTTGACTGGCATCAAACCTGGGACCCTTCAGTCCGCAGGCCGACGCTCTATCCACTGAGTCAAACTGGTTAGGACCCCTCTTTCTTTAATTTTTCCCCCCCAAAACCAGTAGGGGGTGTGCAGGAGGCAGCTGGTCGATGTTTCTTTCTCATCGACGACGTTTCTAGCTCTATCCCTCTCCCTTCCTCTCTGTGGAAAATCAGTAAAATATATTTAAAATTGGTTTTAGAGAGGACGGGAGAGGGAGATAGAAACATCAATGATGAGAGAGAATCACTGCAAGCCCCACACTGGGGACTAAGCCCGTAACCCGGGCAGGTGCCCTGACCGGGAATCGAACTGTGACCTCCTGGTTCATAGGTCCATCCTCCACCATTGAGCCACACACACACTGGCCCCTCCCTCCTCTTTGTGACCCAGCACCCCAACACCAGGCCGAGCTTGCCTCTTTGCCAACATTTCAGGAGCAGCAGACTCTGCCTCCTGCCCCCCACTTCTTCCCCAGGCCCCTTACTCCAGGCTCTCCTGGATGTCTCTCCTACCACCTAGCACCGTTCTGGATGCCATAGCACCAATCCCTCTCGCCCCAGAGTCCCAGTCCTACAGCCCTCTTCCCCGAAGTCTCCTCCTCTCCCAGCTTCCGAGCCCCCTCCCTCCAGCCCCACTCACCCTCCCCACCCCCATGACTCAGCTGTGACTCCAGAAATAAACGCAGGCAGGAGCCAGGGGCCAC